GGTTCAGGGGTGGTATTTAGTGACACCGTCTGTGAATGGGAGCAGATGAGGTGGCCTGAGGACAATCTGTAGGAGACAGAGGAGCAAGAATGAATCTCAGAGCTCTAATGGAAACTGAAAGTAGATAAAAGCTGAAAAGAAATGCTCCTTGGATAATAAGAATAGAAAGCTATCAGGATATACAATACTAGTCCAGATAAAAGAGCAGGGACTTGTGGATTGTAGTACTTGAGAGAAAGATTAAGGTCATGATACCTGAGAAATTTTCCCAACGTTGTACTGCTGTCTTCATGTAAACAGATACAATTTCTTAGGGGAAAACAATGAAGTATTTTTTAAAGAAAATTGAAAAATCATAATTGAATATAGCTTTGCAGTGAAAAGAGCCAAACTGCCCACCTATGCTCAGCCCTTCACCTCCTCAGTGAAGATCAGCTTGATAGGGGCCTTTGTACATCAGACACTGACAGTGAAGGATGTTTTACCAGCAACACTTAGTACGTGTTACCATGTAACTCATTAAGAGAGTTAATGTGAACTTCACTCTTTCTCAAGAACTAGGATTCTACACTGCCCTTCCAGGTCAGTGCTGCAGCACTGTATGGGAGCAGCTGTTCTGGATGCTCGCCCAAAAGACCTAGGATGTGGATTTGGATCCATTTCTGAAAAAGGAGGTATTAAATTTGTCTCACTCATATTCTAGGCAAATGTGCTAACTACCAAATTATTGTGGGAGACTGAGACCACCTTTGTGAAGGGATTAAATCAGCCAAGAAGGAAATCCAACTCCTGAATCATCATAGTCTTGTACAAGGTACACAAGCTTTGCGGAAAAAAAGAAGGAAAGATATATCTACATATTCTGTGCTTTTCATCTCCCTCTGAATAGGGAAGCAGTTTAAGTGATGCAGTCCTGTGCACTAATGTACAACAATCTAACACAAGACATACAAGATTTTTTGCTGTTGGATTTTAAATTGCAATGTAATATCAATTTAAGAACCCAAACAAAACCTAAAATTTTGCATTATTTTTAAATTGTTTCTTCAGAATGTTAATGACTACTGTTTGATCTAGGAGGTCTTCCTGTCCTCTTTTAGCTAAAAATATCAGATCAAAACTCAAAAATGTTTATGTGTATTCTGGAAATGAAGTACATTTCACTGTCCCTTTTTTGTTATTGACAAATATTTTTCCATTAAAAACACAGCTGAAAATTAACAGTTTTGGGTTGGTTTTCTCTTAGAATTATTAACAAGGAAAAGAGAATGAAACCATGCACGGAAAGGTAAATTTAACCATTCACTAAGCATTGTGAGGCAGGGTTGTATTGCTGTTTTTCCCCTGAGAAAAATATTGCTTCACCCTTGTAATAGAGCTTTACCTCTGTCCTTTCAGTTCACTGACATCTTGGTATGGAAGACCTAGACCAGAAGATAAAAATAAAATGTAGTTATTTATTTGAATCAGCTGAACTTTTGTCCTATGAACCAATGAGGGGGGAAAGGATGGGGAATGTATATTGCATTCAGATGACATCTGATGGAAAACAATGCTAAATTTAAAACATCTTACATTTACCAGCAGCAAAATATATTAAGTACATCACCAAACTATTACTGCCTTAGAGAGTGATAGAAAAATATCATGGCTATTATTTTTAGCTAAAAATATGCTAACAAATATCAGTCTTGCTGAAAGGATAAAATAAATAAACTAAAGCACTATATATAAGTATCTAGTAATGACTCAGTCTTAACAGGCTTTGTTAAGCGTTAAGATGCTCATAAAACATTTTGCAAATCACTTCGGCTTAGGTACCCAAATGAAACTATAACCCTTTAAAAATAGAATTTTTCAACTTTTCCTGGACATCAGTACAACAGAAGAAACAAAGCAAACTCTCAGCTGTGCATGCAGCACTTTCCATGCCCTCTCCCAAGAGGCTTTGGAGCACAGAGCACAACCTGGCTGGCTCTGCCATCAGCACACCCCCAGCACAAGCAGAGGAAGAAGAAGCAGCAGCTGCTTTGCAGCCATGCCCAAGAGAGACTGACTGGATGGGTGCCCTCCCTCTGGTTTCACTTTTTTGGTTTTCTGACTGGGTCTGAGGCAGGGGCTGCAATTCCTCAGTTGTGAGGACTGGAACCACACCTGGGATCCCAGCACTGCCTGACAATGCTCCAGACACTGGCATGGTCATGCATCCGAGTCTTGTCCTCTGTGCTGCTGCTTCATCTGCTCTTAGGCACACTCAAAGCTCCCTGTTAAGCCCGGATGGTCTCTGGTTCTGCTCTCTGTTTTTTTTCTTATCTTTGTGAGTGAAAGGAAATAAGAAAAAGTGTAAAAAATGCTAAAGTAGTATTTGAATATGTCAGAAAGAATAAAGTAAGACATCAGCTGTGCTGAGGCAACTATGGAAGAGCATTCACATGCAATTGTAATACAGATTTGGGACAGAGTTCAAATACAAGCCAAGCTTCACTCAAACCTGTGTTTTACTGCCAGAAGAAACAACACTAGACAAAAAGAAAAAAAAGAAGAAAAAAAAAAAAGATGAGCTGGAGAATAAACCATCACACAAACAGAATTAATGATCCAGATTTGGATGGAAGCACTCCAAGTTCAATTTTCATTAAGACCCAAAATAAAGTGATAGAAAAGACACATCACAGGAAATTTAATAGTACATTTTGTATAACAGTAAATTACTCATCATTACCTATGGATTTAGAATGTGCCTACTGGGAAATGTTGCTTATTGCCACAAATATAAGTTTGAAGATATTAAAAATCACTCCATTTTCCAGACCTGTGTTCCAGATCTTAAGATGTATTAAATTTTGTTCCAGACAAGAAGACCTTAAGGAATTATTTTATCACAAAATCACAGAATCAAGGAGGTTGGAAAAGGCTTCTGAGATAATCAAGTCCAAACTATGACCAAACAGCATCACGTCAATTAGGGCATGACACTGAGTGCCACATCCAGTCCTTCCTTAAACACCTCCAGGATTCCAACCTCTGGGCAGTGCATTCCAATATCTAATCACGCTTTCTGTGAGGAACTTCTTCCTAATGTCCAAACTAAACCTACTCTGGATCAGGTTAAGACTGTGTCCTCTCATCCTGTCAGTGGTTGTCTGGGAGAAGAGACCGACACCCACCTGGCTGTTCCATCCTCTCAGGCAGTTGGAGAAAGTGACCAGGTCACCTCTGAGCCTCTTCTTCTCTGAGCTGAACAACCCCAGCTCCCTCAACCGCTCCTTACAGGACTTGTGCTCCAAATCCTGCACAAGCTTCGTTGCTTTTCTCTGGACATGCTGCAGTACCTCAATGTCCTTCGTGAAGTGAGGAGCCCAGAACTGGACACAGTACTCAAGGTGTGGCCTCAGCACTGTTGAGTGCCAGGGAAGAATCCCTGCCTTGGTCCTGGTGGCCGCACTATTCCTGACACAGGCCAGGATATCATTTGAAGACTGAAAAGGCCCCATGTAGGAAAGCAGGTTTTCAGGTACCAGGGGACAAGATAAGAATTTGTTTGCACAGCTGTATAGACAAGTCCCAGTGATGAGTCCAAAAGACAGTTTTGACCAAACTTGTTTTCCTCATGTGATAACTGCACAAAAGAATGAAAGCTGCTTCTGGCTTGACACTGACTGGAATGTTTCCAGTTATGTATGGGGAGGAAAAGTTCTACTTAGTCTCTTTCTGCCATTCCCCAACATATCTCCTTAAACTTCTTGCCACTAAATGCATGTTTCCTAAAAATGATTTCAACTCTGCTGTTCCTTGAAGAAAAAAAACAAAAGCCAAACAGCATGAGGGGAAAAGAAATAGCATTCAATCAGCACATAAAAAATTCACCTTTAAATTACCACCTCAGCCTCCAAAAAAACAAAGATCTATCTCTGTTTCTTGTCTTGTTGGCTTCCATCACATTGTGTTTCATGCCTCATATCCTGCCTTTGTTCTGTGCCTCTCGCCAGCTCTTTGGGCAGCAGAAGCTCCAGCTTCCCATTGAACAACTCCTAGACTTCTTTCTTGAAAATAATATTGCTCCAAATAGCTACTCTCCTGGAAAGTAATACATTTTCTCACTCAATTGCTACTGATTTTAGCTCAATCACACAGGAAGCAGCAGACATTTCCTACATCTTTCTAGGTACTTTTATCTGTCCATTTTCCACGAGCTTCACAGAATAAATGAATCTATTTGTGTTTCACTTATTTCTAATCGGTTTATATTAAAACTATGAATTACCTTAAAGTTTTTCATTCCTCTATATGATAATGTATTCAGGTAGGGTATTTGCCAGAGGAAGAAAGCATTTAAAAATGCTACCAGACAATATTGAAATCTCTTGATTTAGAGCTTGACCTTGGTTTGCTCTATACAAGCAGAAAACAATAGCCACCAAACAGTACAACAGTACTGATGGTAAAGCACGGTGCTTTAGACTGACCAGAGAAATTTTTTCACATATTGTTTAGATATTTCAAGTAGAAGTTATCAGTATAATTTGCATTCACTTCTCAGATAAAACAAAAGGTAAATAATAGAGTTTTTTAAAAAAGTTCTAACATAAAATAAAAATTTTAAAAATAAAAAAATGCATTGCAAGTTGTCAAAACATTTCAAATACTTTGAAAAAAATGTTTTAAAGCTTTATCTTCAGGGTAGAATCTAAGGTAATGTCTGTATTGTTTTTTTGCTTTGCAAATGGATTTATCCTCCTTTATAAAGCTACCTATGACTTGACACTCACTGGAGTACCACTTTTGCAGGACAAAGGACAAGAAAACATAAAATCTTTTCTAAAAACACACAAAAAAATTCCAAATGGTATTAAGTTAACATAAATCAACTCTTTAATGAAAGTTTTCAGGTGCACAAATATGGCTGTATGCACACATGATAAAGGATTTCAACAATTTTTATAAGGCTAGTTAATTAATATATCTGGCAGGTACATCCAGCAGATCAGTTGCTCCAGTAACTCACCCTTGGGTCAGTCCCTCAAAGTTAGTCCGGGGTCTTCTTTGCCCCATTTCTTGTTATGTCTCAAGTTCTGGTGCAAAACAAAATGTCCTGGTCAAAAATATTTTCTTAGGCATAAGACTAGACAGAATTTTAAAATTGTGTTAGTAAGGGTGAGCTTATTGTGAGAAAGGTCAGGAAAAGTACTAGAAATCATACAACTATATATTAAAAATCTACAATGTTACAAATATATGAAATATATATAACAAGCTAAAAAATCTTTAGGCATCTATCATAGTAGGAAGAACACATAACTTACCATTATATTCTGCATAGGTATGTTGATTACCCTGCCTTCTTTGTCTGATTTTGCTACCCTTTATGGTCTGCTACTGATACCCTGATATGCTCCCACTTTCATAACCATCCCTTTAGGGTGCCTGTTAGGCTTAGTATGGCCAGACTCTAACAGCTGTAACAGCTTTTCATCCATTTGCTATTCTTATTCTATCAGAGAGAGAAACACATTAGGCTTTTATTCACTTCCCCTTAAGAGAAAAAAAAAAGAGAGAAGCTCTGTGGGAGTTTGACTAGAGAGCAAATAAAATAAAAATTGGGTTTTCTGTGGCTCAGTTACAATTAATTACTTTAGTTTAACTAGATTAGAGTTAGAGAATGATCCCTTCTTTAAGTGCTTTACTTTCAAAAGAGAACTAAAATCTTAAGATAGTCACAAATAATGGTGCCTCTTTACTCTCTTTACATTTTCATAAATGTAATTTCATACTTTGCTTTTACATTGTTCTTAGTACTTTTCACGTTACATTCCCTTCCTTTCCATTTTAAATCCATTCAAAGACTTTTTATGCATTTCTGAAGAAAGTCTGATGTGAGTTTTGATGCCATCTATTTGTTGTAATGAGAAATGCATTAAATAATAAAATATGAGTAGACAAAGGACAGAAAAAACCCAAACTGTCAATGTAAAGAATTTCCAGGAATGCATGGGAAATGGCAGTGCCTTAATTTCTACCATTTGAGTCTGTTTCAAGTCTGTCCTTTCTCAGGGACTTTGAGTATATACATATATATATATATATATATATGTGTGTGTGTAAATAGTAAAGAAATTTTATTTCTACTTCAAAACATTGTAAGCTAGGAAGAAACATTAAAATATTTTCTGATTTACTAGCTGCAGTTTCAATCTCTGCTACTGCTTGTTACTCAGTCCACATTTTCAGTAGTCTTCATTATGCATTGATCAATGCACTGAATTGTGCCATGGGTCACACACAGTTTTGTATTTAAATTACAAAACACAAAGAAATATGCCTGCTAGCTGAATAACTAGAATTCATAGAACATTTTTGATCCATAAATTTTCACATATTTCACATTGATGACTGACACCGTACAACAACAATTCAAACAAGAAAACAGCATGACAGAGAATGACAGATTTATTTTGACATAATTTATCTTGCTTAATGTTGAAGTTCTCCATATAAGCAAATTCTGAGCAAGCAGAATTCTAAATGCTGATAGTAAATTTATATTGTTCATTTCAAACACCTATTTTGATAGTTGTTTTCATCTTTCTGGACATTTAATGTCTTCTAAATATACTCCAAAAAGTCAAATTGATTTTTAAACTTTTAAAATATCGAACATTTAAACACCTAAGTACATTTAAACCTAAGTGCAAATACCAAATACTGCTTCAAACAAGGTAGCGACTAGAGAAGTCACAGTTTCTCTGGAGCCAAAACTGTTTTTTCTTTCTAAATGATGAGGGGTTTAACATCCCTTAGAATCTGAACTAGCACTTTCCTTGTACAAAACCTATGATCTCATTCAATACTATTACAACTGTGACAGAAACCATGATTGAACCAACATAGAACATACTCAATTTAGAGTTCTCATAAAATGCTTATATATGCAGACATTATAGCAGAGTGTCTATAAGGAATATACTAATGAATGGATATATAATTTCTCAACTTTTCTTTCTCTTGTCAAACTGGGTTTTTTCTCATAAGCGCAAAACTGTGAATTAAATGTGGCATCTAAAGCCCTGCGTTTTCATTCCTCTTTCCTGGCAAAACCCCAGATTTTGTCCTATAAGTGAAAGATCCCTTTAGCTACTGTAGTTTTTGTACCCATTCCTGTGCATTTGAATGGCCTGCATCTTTGGAAAAATATAGCCTCTGAATCTCAGACAAAAATTATTTTATTTCTCTGTGACAGGGAAACTATAAAGACAGCAGTGTCACAAATTTTGAGCAGTGCCCTTTTATACCAGGGTAAAGTGCAGTAGAAAAGTTGAGCCAGTTGATAAATATCAGACACAAAATACTCTATAGAATGCTACTTAACTCTTGTTAAGGTTTGTGATTTTATGTACTGCTTACTCATTATTCCAAGTATGTTTTTAAGTGCATCAAATTAACTCAATCAGGAATGGTTTCAGCTCACTGATAAGACATGCAAAAAAATTCCCTAAGAATTAAATCTATGTGTAACATCTTCAAGATTCATTAGGATGATTAGATGTTAAAAATACAAAGACAGTTATTAAAGTGAAAAGGGTGTTAGCAGTTCATATCTTTAGTCTGATGAAAATTTGAATACTCAGATACTGATTAATAAAATGTATTTCATCGCCACTTACTCTCATCCTTCTTAAAACATACATGACCATCAAAGGCTAACACTTCTTCTTTTGAACAGCACTTAAAGTCCTAAAATTGGACATTAAGAGTTTCCAAACAAAATTAAACCATTAGGTCAATGTAATTGTATAATGCAAGGTGGCAAACAAGACCCTCACTGGTACTCATTCACTCACCCCTGAGAGTGAATGGGGTGGGGAGAGAACTGAAAGAGTAAAAGAAAATTTGTGGGTAGAGATAAGGACAGATTGATAGGTAAAGCAAAAGCTACATTCACAACCAAAACAGAACAAGGAATTCATTCACCATGTCTCACTGATGGGCAGCCAGGTGTTCAGCATTCCCCAGAAATGTCCCCCTGTCCTCTTCCCCCAGATTTATATACTGACCAATGCACTGTATGCTATGGAATACCCCTTTGGTCAGCAGGGATGCCAGCTCTCCCAGCTGTGTCCCCTCCCTCCTCCTTGAGCACCTCCAGCCTCCTCACTGGTGGGACAGTGTGAGAAGCAGAAATGTTCTTGACTCTGTGCACTGCTCAGCAGTAACACCCCTGTGTTATCAATACTGTGTACAGCACATGTTCAAAACTTTGACTCATGCCAAGTCCTGTGTAAAAAAGTATTTTTATCCTAGCTGAAAGCAGCACAGCCAGGAACAGATTTTAGCTCTGTGTTGGTAAAGGAGGTCAAATCCATTATTTGGGTATTACTACTACATGAAACTCTAATGGAGAGGTGATCCTGTGAGAGGCTCAACATCCTTTTCAGGAAAATCTTCAAAATGCTCTCACCAGAATCTGCTTCTAATTGAAACTGATATGATCCTTTCCTTCAAAGGACCTTTGGAACATTTACCTCTGGCATGTACAACCACTCTATACTCTTAGGAGTTTTTTTAGGCCTTGAGATGTAAAATAGTATGGGACTGAACTAAGAATAGGTAGATATAAGTGTTTTGTCACCATGACTAATGGAGTTCTAAGCAGCATGGGCCCAATTTTGACAGTTGTTATGTTAAGCTGAGCTAACAAGAATAACTTATTCTGTAAAAAGCACTCGAGATAAAAAAATCCATCAGAGCCTTACATGAGCCATGATTATTTAATAACAGTATTAGAAAAACTAGCTTTACTGAAGGTAGGTGTTTCTGTTCTTTACACAAAGTTGTTAAAGAGGTGAAAAAAATTACAAAACTGGACACAGAAATTCAAACCATGACAGTGTTTCTTCTGTACTATACATTTGTTTACACAGAAGTACCTTTTGTAGATACTTCCCTAAAATGTAGGTTGTTGAGAAAGATTTTTTTTTCTCAAAGATGAGTATTTTGTCAGTGCTCATTGATGCATTTTTTAAAATGCAGAAATGTAGCCTTATAAAATCCCAGTCATCTCCAAACAAAGTATCAGCCTACTAGCTAAGGAAGTCACTTTCTGAAGTTTCCATTGTAAATGAGGAGCTTTGCTTGGTTAGTTTTTTATGGGATTTAAACGTGCTTGTGTTAAACAGCACATAAATATTACATGGACACCATTTATCACAGTGAGCAGCTTTGCTCTTTATAAGCATGGGTGCTGTTTCTGTGACTGTCAAGCATTTCTCTTGAAGACTTTATTCACTTAAAAGCTAGTATCACTGCTGTCAGGGTCATCAGGTTTCTCTTGAAATGTGAGAGATCAGAGGCAAGAATGTGACCAGATCTTAACCTCTTTTAAAAAAAACCTCATCCTGAGGCAATCAAAAACTGGAGCTTCAGAAAACCTCACATGATTTTTCTTATGAGTGAGGAGTGCATGTCTGAAAGGTGCATACCTTGTATTTACAGCCTCTCTTCTGTCTGGGCTATAGAGGAGGTAATTAGCAATTCTGGGGCAAATCTTTAGAGATTTTAAGCATCTGCTAATTAGCCCAAGAGCTGTTAACAGCAGGAGACACTATAAAGTCTTAGCACATCCATAAAACACTGAATGAAAAGCCAGCATTGCAGTTTATCATTTTATTGCAGCATGTAATTTTGTAGTTTAGTATTTTCTTGCTTATTGTTTTACTTTTTCTGATTGTTTTATGGAGTATTTTATTTTTAACTCAAACCAAATATTCCATCATTTCAAAAATATTCACATCCATAGAAAAAAAGGGGGAATGAATAACATGACACAATCAGGATGCTGACAGTCATCAACTCTACCATACTTGTCTATGCACAAGTTCTCAGCTACTTTATTACCAGAAGCTATACATTATAATTTCAAGTAATTTTTCTAGTATAGATAACACTTGAGGAGAACATTCCAAAAATAAAGTACCTAAACACGAAAACAAGGAACATCTTAGTCACCCGCCAGATCTCAGCCCACACACTGAAATGAATGACTCATATGGTCATCTGATAACTTCTGCCAAACCCT